TCGTCTCACTATAGGGGGTGCACTTTCGTTGCTTCCCGTGTGTGTCGAGCTATTAAGTAAGAATGTGGTGAAAATCTGATAAAGGCTTGATACCAATACGAGTACAAAGTTTGTAGATAACTTAGTTTGTCAACTCCTGTAAGCCAATGAACACCATGATGGCAGGCAGCGAATTTTCGAAATTCCCCCTCCCGCCGAATTGTGCCAACTTGTGGAACGGTGAAAGGAAGGAGTTCGCGAAGTGAACAAAATCGACCAATGGTTTTGCAGTACTGCAAGCGTCCATGTAGGATGGTGAAGACTTCAATGTTATCTTCTATATAGCTGCCCGAAAAAGGCGAACCACGATCTGATGGGAATTTTCTCTGTCGGACAAGCTTCCTTTCCATTAGGATCCGTAGATGAACAGTTTTTTTGAGTGTTCTCATTAGAGTTGCCCTCCTTTCCCAAGTCAATCTTATATCCTCTCTGTGTGTTGTTTGACTCAGTGGAGTCAATTCTGACTATTAAATCGGCCATATTTAGTTCCGAAAACATGAATTTGGAGCAGTGATATTGTCACCATCTCGTGAGTTATCAATCCAGATCGCATCGGTAAGGAACCACTATAGTTCCCATACCATCTGCTATACTTGATCATCTTCAGGTTGCTGCTCCTTTTGCAGCGAAGCTAAACTATTCCATAGTTGTCACTGTGGGTGGAACGAAAGTGGAACAGAATTTGAAAAAGTTAAAAGGAGGGTAGGTCATTCACTGAGTGGTTGTGTTCCGTTTGACTTGTTTTGTTGATCCGTACTTTTTCAGTGGAAATATATTGGTAGCGACGCCTGGTCGTCTTTTCCAATTGTTATCATTGGACAAAGATGGTAGCCTGAAGCGCGCATTAAAAACTGTAGAGATTCTTGTCATAGACGAGGCCGACCGGTTTAACGAGTCGCAATTTGAGATGCAGTAAGTTTATTGTTTATAAAGCACATGCTGTTATGCCGCTAATCTCCTGGGCCGTTTGCTCTCCTCCTTCTCTTGAGCTCGGCTTCGCCGAGCTGGCCTGGCTTCGCCAGGCGGCTCCATAATTTTAGCGGAACTTTTTCGGTAGTGCGCTGCTCATAAGGCACTGTAGTGATCGAATCGTAACAGACAGAGCAAGGCTTAGGATCCCGCACAACTCAGCACGCGCTTCTATTTACAGCAGCGGTGTAGTCCGCGCCATGACGCCCATAGAATACATAACTCTGTAGATAGATACAATGTGTAGTCGGCCAATACAGGGCAGTATGAATGTATATAGAAGAGTAGAATCGTTTCCGATTACCTGTACCGGAAATGTCTTGCGATGTATTTTCGTTTTTCAATTAGCATCAATCCGCTCGTATTTTTCGGTTCTCCTCGAATTTTTCCTGTTTCAGGCGAACTACATACCTCCCCCCCCCCGCTCGTCGACATCGACATTATATAGTAGATAAGGGACACACACACACACACTTACAGACATACTTAGCGGATTATATATAGTAGGATAGTGGGATGAGTTCATTTTCTAGGGCAATCAGGGAAGTGATGGCTAAAGGAAAAGTATGCACACTGAGCCTTTGATACTTGGGGTATAGTGATAAGAGAGGTAATGAATGGCTCCTTATCCTTTCTTATCAATTGATAAGATCCTGTCACCCGTCATCAATGTCCCTATCACTAAAATTCTGTAATTTGGTAGTGTAAAGGCTCCAGCAATTTGACTGAACCTTATCCTTATCCTTATCAGCCCCTATCAGCTGTTATCACCCGTGCCGTGTCCCCATCTCCAACACACTATATCATTTTCTGCAAATTAGTATGCTAGCTTCGATGCTGTGTCGCGTTTAGTGTATGTTACCATTACCATTCTAACTCCCCTTATTCAAATCCTGTCAGTGCCTATCATTCCTTCACCATCAATAATGTTCCTGTCCCACGTCCTATATCATACCTTGGAACCAATGTCCCACTGTTACTGTGTCCCGCACTATGGGCTCGGTCACCCTCCCCTTCTGACGCCTCTTGACGGATCTTATCAGCTGCTATCATTCCCTGTCACCCATCAATAATGTTCCTGTCCCACGTCCTATATCATACCTTGGCGGAACCCAACTCGTCCCACTGTTACTGTGTCTCGCACTCGGTCACCCTCCCCTTCTAAGGCCCTTATCGAATCTTATCAGGTGTTATCACATTCTGTCACCCACCAAAAGTGTTCCGTCTGACCTATATCCAGTCTTGGAACGGTCGTCCTATCTGTCTGCGACGCTCGCCTATGAATTTCGTGACAGAAGCGGACGACGGACGACGGACGGACGGACGGACGGACGGACGGACGGACGGACGGACGGACGGACGGACGGACACACACACACACACACACACACACACACACACACACACACACACACACACACACACACACACACACACACACACACACACACACACACACACTTACAGACATACTTAGCGGATTATATATAGTAGGATGGTTATCATCTCTGGGCTCGTTTGCTTGGCGAATCTAGCACTGAACAAAACCTGCTGAAGTGTCCTATAACTCGGAGCTTTGTTCAGAGCGGGGTTCAGGATTATGCCGCAGTAATTGCATGACTGCAGTCAGATTTATGGAGAGTTTTTTTTTTTTGCCATCGTCTTGCGAGTGCAGCAGAATGAGGATTGGCGAAAGGTTTGCGAATATCTCGGAGATGGTTTTTTCGGCAGGGCGGTGGCTTGTTCCTTCATAATTCTTTTTTTTTTATTTTTTATTTTATGCAAGAAAAGGAATGCCATGTAGAGAATACAGGTGCCCTATAGGAGCAGAAACTTGTCCCGTCAAAATCGTGCTATAGCAAACCGTACAACCTTACTCTCTTCAAGGGGTAGGGGAAAGGTGAGAGAGGAGCTTCATTTAATACCCTTAGCTGGAGTATGTGCAAGAAGCCGTACCACATTGCACCCTACTGTGCGTGATTTTTTTTGACTAACAAGAAATTCATATGCGTTGGCGCGCTCGAAAGGATTTTTGCGGGCACATCAGTTGTTTGGGGATTTTGGTCGAGTCCCGTGGCGACCACTTCCCCCCTGGAAGGTGGCTTGATACAAACCCCTGTTCTCTCTCCTAATGCCGATTCAGCCAGGGGAGGGTGTATAGCACATGGTGAAACAGGAAGCACCGAAGGAGTACAGCCGTTAGAAGAAAATTTTTCCCAATGCAGCAGAATGTCTCTTTAGGCAGCACACCCCCCTGCCCAAACCAACGACCACCCCTCGTCCCTTTATATGCCTCAGTGGAATGATAAAAAAATCAACCTTTTCAGAAAATTCTCTCCCCGACCTCCTCCCGTCCAGCGCCCGGATGCGACCTCTCTCCTGATCTAAGGAGGTTTTTCCTCAACGTATAATGTGCCCCTGTTTGAGTATGACCTGAACATCCTCTCTCTTTTACTCTACCCGAAAAAATTACACTTTTATTGTTGTGCAGTTTGAAGGAGATTCTGCTCGCATTACCGAAACAACGACGGACGGGACTTTTCTCAGCAACACAAGCAAAGGAATTGGAAGACTTGTCGTTATTCGGTTTGCGGAATAAGAAAGTCATAAAAATCAAGAGTTTCAGCATCTTGTTTCGCCTTCAACGCTCAACAACTATTACACAGTAAGTTTTTTGAAGAGTTCTGAACCACTGCTACTTAGCTCTCGATTTGCCTTTGTTTTGAGGTCTGCGAAGCAGCTGAAAAACTCATATGTGTTGTGGAATTCATTCGCAACAAACCTGACAAGAAAGTGCTTGTATTTTTCCCCTCTTGTGGAGGAGTGAAATATTTTCATACGGTGAGTGGGGGGTTTTCTGCCTCATTTTTCATTTGTGCGTTTGCAAATAAATTCCAACGGACTGCTATTTCGTTAAGTAGAATCTCCGTTTTGTAAAATAGCTCGCTCCGCACTCCTAGAGATTGGCCGCTTATGTGGCTCTGTAATGTAATAAATGTTCTGCGATCGCCATAAACCGAAGAGGCACCATCCGTAAAAGTTGCTCCACCCATCTGGGAGCAGAATGTGGCAGCGGTCCCATTTCTTTGTACACGGGTTTGACGCGTTGCGTTTATTCTGTGTGAGATTGGCCTTCGTCTTCTAGCTCTTCTTCCTGCCTCTCTTATTCGGGTTAATCTCCCGCAATGTAGAAACGCTTCGTATTGAACAATTTAATCTGACATTAATTAGGGTCTATTAGACGGTTTTCAAATTCTCTCTCCTCTTCAGTGCTGGATCAGCGAGTTCACATTTGGCGGCGACAACCCCGAACGCAGAACTACACTAACGATTTTTTGAAGGGAGATTGCGCGATTGCTCGGTAGGTTGAATCCCCTGTAGTGGCCTGGTCAACCATGGCACCGCGGGTCCTGTACGAGTGGGGTAGATAAGAGGAAGAAGAGAGGGAGGGGTTGAGGTTCGTCGATCACGTTCCCGCCAGCTTCTACACCACCATGAATATCCTCAACGATGACCACCGCTGGGCAGGCATTGTGGTGTCTGTCATCTCGCTTGGTTTTCTTGTCTACCATTTTTCATCCACGGTCTCTCACTCTCACTATTATTGTCTCTTCCTTGCTCACCCATGGCTCAAAATCGAGCATGAAGAGGAACATCTGTGGTGCCTCTTCGGCTATTTCGTCTGTTTTTTTCCACTGGTAATTCTACTAATACACCCAGTTTCGTTTTCAAACCTTACTACCCACGACATGCAGTTGTGGGATGTGGCTTGGACACTTGCAGCCGTTTGTTGCTTGCCGCGATGAAAGATTTTTCCAGATATTAACTCGTGTCCTCACAAAACGGCCTTTGTACGCCGTCCATGGTCACAGCTCTCAGGCGGAACGGACCAAACAGGTACGAGTTCCTGCTCCAGTTGTTTTGACATGCAGTAATTACCCATGCCATTACTCTTGCAGATTGACGAATTCCGTAAAAGTGACAATGCAGTAATGCTGTCAACAGATGTGATGTCTCGTGGTATCGACATTCAAGACATTGACTGGGTCATACAATTTGAAGTACCCAAGCTATCCAGGTAGGGAAGGGGTAGATAGAAAAAAGACCTGGAGGGGGCATTGATGAGAAGTCCCGGTGCAACCCGAAATCCCACTTTGAGTGTATTCTCAATGCTGGAAAGCATCCGTGGCGAGTAGATCCTCATATTACGTGGATCCCCGTGAGCTCAAAGGCTGGACAGTTTCTTCACCTTACGAGAGGGTCTGATGTTGCCGTTGAGCATCGACAACAGAGGTTTACTAGTTTGTAACGAATTTTTCTCGTGAAATTTTGGCATGAAAGCTGGAAAATCAGACTACCAGCCCTTGAGGCTCAGGGATCTCCTGAACTCTAGGTATAATTGCTAAGCGAGAAAATTTGCTTTGATTAGGCTCCCTTTGCGCCAAAAGCTTCACCACTTCGTGCCAAAACACCTATTTTCAGTTGGTTTGTTCACCGATCTGGTCGTACAGCTCGTTGTGGACGAGAGGGAAACGCGTTGTTAGTCCTTTCACCACAGCAAACTGCCTACGTTGGTTATCTAGCCAAGCACGAGAAAGTGGGTATTTGTTTGGAGATCTCCTGTGACCCATGGAAAATTATTTAAGTAGTTTCTTGTTCAGGTTGAGTTGAAACAGATCTCAGTGCCAAGCAGTAATGCT